AAAAAAAAAAGAAACAGATATATACTGTTCCATGTAAGTAGATATACGTATAGGGAAGAAACAAAGTATACACAGAAAGCACCTAGAACAGAAATTGCTTCTGTTGAATACATGTACAAATTTATGAACACTACTTTTCTCATTTGTGTAAGATACAACAAACGGAGCGAAGAGTGAACGAACAAATATTTATGATGATTATGCTTCTGTAACATTTCTTTTTTTGTTTCCTTCTTGTTCTTTCAATTCTTTTGCTACTCTGTTTATCTGGCGATCTGCTTTTCTGTGAACATTTGGGCTATTTCTAGTCAATTGTATGTATATGTGTATATATATTCATTTTTTTTTTTCATCCTTTTCTTTTTGTTCGTGCCCCTACACGGAGGGGTACTTCTGTAGTTACACCCAAACTGTTGCCATCCTTACACAAACGGAGGAACTAGGGGTTTGCAATAGTAGAGTAAGAAAGAAAAAAAAAAAAGAAAAGGCGTTTGCTTCTGCGCGTAACTCTTTGTTACGGGACGATCAAGCAATCAAAGAACGTGAAGAGAATAGAGTTGCAAAATCAGCAACGAGAAGAAGAAGAAAATAAGCACACCCACACACGGATATATATATATATATATATATATATATCCAATAAATGAACGTCACACCAGTGCTAGCAAAAGAAATCGTTAAACGATTCCGTAAACAGACAGGTGGTACATCAACGTCAACACTTACACCAGAGTTTGCCGCATTCGCTGTGCGTCTCTCACTCCTTGGTTCAGCGAATAAAGATGAAAAGGGAAATGTTGCCGAGACTCCAGAAGCAATTGAAGCAATGGCGGATAAGCTTTCAAAATACTTTGCCACGTGTTCAACACATGTGATGGCAACACTTTCCTTACAATGCCAGACAGCAGGACTGCGTGCTAATTTTTTGAATAAACGCCGCAACGAGCAGGTGAAACAGGAGGCTGTCACTATGCGTCTGATGGGATCTCTCTGTGAGAACTCCACAAGAATGCCTGAAGAGATGCTCAGTGAGATCGCCTTCTTCATTCTGCACCGCTACGGACAACTGCGTAGCACTGCTGAAGGAGATGTGGCTGTCCGCAAGGAAACTGTAGCTACACTAAACGCCGTGCTACCGCGTGCACAAGTCCGTGCGTTTGCCAATCAATCAGCTGAAGAAAAGCGACGTCAACTGGAGGAGTTGCGCCGCATTGTGTGGGGTATTCGTCTCTACAACATGTCGGAGGGACGCACAACGGGTGCTGGTCTCACTCTCCTGCACGATACCGCCTCGTCTACACTCTCGGAGCTGCAGGAACTCATCACACGAGAACTGCAGAAGACCGCGGCGGTGTGTGCGGATTATGTGGCGTTTCTCCGTTCACCCTCTGCTGCCATTGGGAGTGCTGAGCGGCAGGCATTACGCGAGGAGTACCACCGCACCCTGCAGTTACTGCTCAATCTCCGCACCGCCCAACAACGCCTAACGGACTTAGCAAACATCATCCACGGCGAACATCTCCCCGCGTATGACACGGCGTTAGCGGAACTGCGCGCAGTGCTCGGCACCAGCTCCATGCGATCGGACGGCGTTACACTCCACAGCAGTGTGCCAAAGCGTACAGTCTACCCAAAATTTATTGCCCTCGCCGACGCCTACGAGGAGACTCTGCAGAGCTTTGAAGCGTTTGAGGAAATACGCGCTCTTGTTGATCTCTCACTCTCACTTGGGACAGTGGCAACTCCATCGTTACCACCCACACTTCTCGAGCAGGCTCTCGCAGAAGCGAAGGATGAGACACCAGCGGATCGTGATGCCACAGCAGCATACATTGCCTCACTAAACCCATCGTCAAGTGCAATTTCGTATGCTGCAAATCCAGCCGAACTAAAACAACATCTTGCGTCACGAGGGATGCATGGTTTGTGTCCGATGTGCTTGGTAGAGGATGGTATTTGTGTCGAGGGAAAAGAAAGCGAAGAAGAAAAGGCGTTTGCAGGATTTCTTGTTCAAGCAGCAGTGGATGGCAGCAAGGGTACGTGGTACGCATTCTGCTCAGATACCGCCCTTCGCCGTTTTGCAGCATCGCCGAAAAAGTATTTGGATACCGTGTTGCAGATGGCGGAAGGGGATATGGTACTTATTGGACTCCTGGATATGTATGATCAACTTCCACGTGAACTGTACATACGCGGTACACGTAAATATGAATCTCAGGTCTCTGCATCATTAGCAGCAGCAGCAGGAGCGTCTGTGAAACGTCATGACATGTCCACGCAAACAGGTCAAATAGATCCTTATATGGATCATAATTATCGCTGGAATGAGTGGGACCTACGTCGTCAGGCACTAAAACTTGTAAACCTTCTCAACATGCGTACACACTCTACGCAGACAATTGCATCTCACTTTCGCCGAGACAATGCTACACAAATTCGGCCACCACGAGATGATGAAACACAGACCATGCATAACGCTGCAGTTCAACCACCTAGAACGGTTCAGTATCTTAAAGGGCTTCGTGGTACAAAAACCTCTGCGATCGAGACAGTTCAGAAGACCTTTTTATACTAGATTTCTAACAGCATCGGTAGTGACACTTCAATTGGAAAATTCCAATATCTTGATGTACGTTACAATTCACCATCAGGAAAGACGGATTAATGCAATAGATGCATTTCCACTTCATTTCTTTTGATGTTTTTTTTTTTTTTTCCTTGCTCCCTCATCCCATCCATTGTTTTTTTTTTTTTTGTTTTTCTTTTGTTTTGTTTTTCCCTCATACAATTCAGGTTACGCTTCTATCCTATTTTTTTTTTTTATTTGGTTTTTCTTTCACGTATCTCTTTTTTTTTTTGCGTATGTACACACACACACACACTACACACTTGTGGGTAATATTGTGAGTGATCAGTTTTTGTTAAGCAAAGATTGAGAAATTATGTCCATGAAGACTATCGAACAGCGGTTGGTGGAGAGATTTATGCGGTATTCCGCTATATCTAGCCAAAGCAATCCTTTGAATATTGGTAAGTGTTTGCCAACCTCACCGGGACAGCAGGAACTTGCTGAACTGATTGCAAATGAACTTCGTGCAGCTGGACTTGATAATGTTCTGTGTGATGAACATGCTACAGTGACAGCAGTACTTCGGGGTACCAAGAAGGATTGTCCAACTATTGGGTTTATTGTACACCTTGATACAGTTGACGTTGGTTTAAGCCCTGTGGTGAAGGCACAACTGCTGCGTTATGAGGGTGGTGATGTTTGTTTAAACAAGGAGAAGGATATTTGGCTGCGTGCGGCAGAACACCCGGAGATTAAGTGCTACGCCGGACAAGATATTCTCTTCAGTGATGGCACAAGTGTTCTTGGTGCCGATGACAAGGCGGCTGTATCAAATGTGATGGAGATGATCACCACTCTGCAACAGCAACGACAAGACCAGAAAGAGGAGCACGGTGATGTTATCATCTGCTGTGTGCCTGATGAAGAGATTGGGCTTCTTGGGGCTAAAAATCTTGACATTCAATCGCGTTTCAACGTGGACTTTGCCTACACGATTGACTGCTGTCAGTTGGGTGAGGTGGTGTTTGAGAACTTCAACGCTGCGAAGGCGGAGATCATCTTCACTGGTGTCACTGCACACCCAATGTCTGCAAAGGGAGTGTTAGTGAACCCGCTGCTGCTTGCCGTTGACTACATATCGCGATTTGACCGCGCCGAGACGCCAGAGCGGACGGAGGGCCGCGAGGGGTATATTTGGTTCTCCGACCTGCGTGCCCATCAGAGCGAGGCGGTGCTCAAAGTGATGGTGCGGGACTTTGACGAGGCGAAGTTCGCGGCCCGTGTGCAGCAATTACACACCGCCGCCGAGGCCCTCCGCAGCGCACACCCCACCGCCCGCGTCGCCGTGAAGGTCGAGCCGCAGTACCGCAACATCGCCGCCGCACTCGCGGGCGAAGGCGGAGCGGCCGCCGTTGAAGTTCTCCGCGCCGCCATGCGGGCCGCAGGCGTGGAGCCGAAAGAAACGCCCATGCGGGGCGGAACGGACGGCGCAGCGCTCGCCGCTCACGGCCTGCCAACACCGAACTACTTCACAGGCGCACACAATTTCCACTCCAAGTTTGAGTTCCTCCCAATCCCGTCCTTCGTGAAGTCCTACGAAGTGACGAGGCACATCGTCTTTGAGGCAGCAAAGGTGCAGAGACCAAAGAAGGAATCCGGCCACGGGGGAGTTAAGGGGTGTTCGCGCCTTTGAACGCAAGGCACATAATACAACACTCTTTTCTCTGTCTTTATGTCTGTCTCTGTCTATGCCTCAAAACACATTCTTTTTTCCCTCCTGGGATTCACTGAATATCGCTGGCGCAAAACAAAGAAAAAAAAAAAAAAATACATGCGGACCCGTACATGGATGTAGTCACGAGTCTTCATTGATTTTATCTTATTTTCTTTTTTTTATCATATTATTAATACGAGAGATTTTGTTTTATTTTTCTGTTTTGCGCGTTACTGCGCTTCTATTTTGACGAAAAAAGAAATACCATTGGATGGTGGTGTGAATGTTGTATTTTCAAGTCTTCACCCCATCCTTCCCCCCTCCTTTCTTTTGCTCGAGTCGTTTTTCTTTTTTGTGACGAGGCAAAATAAATATATTTTAATCTGCGCTCTGTTTCATTGTATCGTTATGAAGAATTGCTATTATTATTACTACCATCATCGATAGGAGTGTTGGATGGCTTAGATATACTTAAGGACAAGACAAAAGTGTCTTCTTTCCGATTTTATTCTTGTTTTTTTTTTTTTTTTTTATATATATTTCTTTTACCACATCTGTTTGTGTGTGTATGTATATGTGTCACATCTAGAGGAGTGGTGCGCCGTGAAGTCAACAGGAAGTGTGTAGTTCAACAGTTGAAACAAAAGGCGCTTCGAGAGAGGAAAAAAAAAAAAAATAATAAACCAAGGAAAGAGAGAAGTAAAAAAAAAAAAAAGTGAAGAAAGAATAACACGAAAGAAATGACAGACTCATTTGTTTCTCTACATTCTTTGACGCCACTCGATCTTAAGCAGTTATCAAGACAACAGAAGCGTCAACTCTTGCAGAGGCATCGTGAGAGTCACACACGCAATGCCAACGTTGTTTTTCTTCTAGGAACAGATCTTCTTGCTGGTGGTACTAGCGGTATCAGTGAGGTGGAGCTGTCGTCCATCTATGAACAGATTCTTATCGCGGCGTTGGATTGCGGACGTGTGGACACCGCACGACACTACCTTTCCTTGTTACAAAAGCGATTTGGTAAGCAATCGGTTCGTGTGAGGCATCTTGAGGGTTTATGCCTGGAGGCAGAAGGGGCAACATCAGCTGCGGAGCAACTGTACCGTGGAATTCTTAAAGATTCTCCAACTGATGACTTCCCTGTAAAGCGACTAAGCGCGATATTTAAGAGTGATGGACAACTTAAAAAGGCTATTGAGGTACTGGAGCAACAGCTTGTGTACACAGATGAGAATGAAGAGAAGCACAAATATTTGGAGGTGCACTGTGGTGATAGTGTTCCTGCTTATCGCGAACTATCTAATCTGTACTACCTATGTGAGGATACTCAGAAAGCGCTTTACTACGCTGATGAGGCTATGTTGTTTACCGCCAATTCGTACCTTTCTCATACCCGCATAGCAGAACTGTGCTACATGTCGGGTGACTACAACCGTAGTCTCATTGAGTACGCCCAGTCACTGCGGCTTAACGATCATGCCAACAACAGCCGTGCAGCATATGGACTATGGGTAACGGCGAATGAAGTGGTGAAGCAAGCGAAGGCCGCACCGCGACGGGTGGGAGGTGAACATTCAGTAGATGAGGCAATTGAACTTCGGTCTTGGGCAGAGAAGAAACTGCTGCAGATGTACAAGGGTAGTCCGATGCTCTCGGCGGTGGAAGCTATGCTGCAGCGTGAGGCGTGAGTCAGAAGAAAGCAAGAGAAGGAAAGGAAAGAAAAAGGAAAGGAGTCACAGAGTGAAGGATGAAGGAAACAAAAAAAAGAAAAGAAAAAGAAAGAAAAGCTGAAAAAACGAGGCGAAAAAAAAAAACAAAAAAACAAAGAATACACAAGAGTGGGTATTGGAAAAAGAAAAAGAAAACTTGGTGCAGGAGTTTGTTCAGGCAAGTGTATGGCGGGAGGGTGGGGGATATGAATGTAAGTGCACACATTCTCTTACATGATACGAGAAAATTTTCACGGATGAACTCCACTAATAAATGAGAGATTGTAAAGTGTTTGATGTTGTTAAAGAAACATTACGCTGACAAATTGGTAACTAACGTTGAGCAACAACAACACAAAAATCAAAACAAAACAAAACGAAAAAGAAGAATATCTATGTGTTCAGTATTTCTTTCTCTGCCTTGTAGAACATATGCTCTCAATAATTTTTTATTTCTTATTCCACCACAATACTTTTCTCATTGCTGAGCATTTGACAACAGCAACAATAACAACAATGACAAAAGAAGGTACATGTACGTGCTATGTATAACGCATATTAGCAAGATTTTGAGTTATTTTTTGCAATTGTTTTTTTTTTTTTTCTTCTATCCCTTTTTGATTTCCCATTTTTTATTTATTTCTTCTTTACTTTTCCATAAGAAGGCCGCTCTGGGAAAGGAGAGAGACCTCCTTATTCCTCACCGTACCACAACAGAGTTGTAGAGGTGACGGCAGAGGCTGCAAAGTGCTGCTCTCACAGCCTATGATGAGCGAGTCGAGTGTATTGGGAAGTGTGACGGGAGATAAATCATCATCTTCAGCTGTCGTTTACACACCACCAAACTCTGTTGCTGTCTCTCCATCTGTATCGCCTGCCCCTGCCCCTGTTCCTGTTCCTGTCGCTGTCCCTATCCCTGCGTCTGCCCCCGTTGCAAAAGCAATAACACCACCAACAACAACAAGAGCAGCAGCAGTATCATCAGCAGCAGATGCTGTTGCCTCAGCGCCTGCACCGTCTAACCATAGAGAAAAGCAGGGAACTGAGGCTGCGGTTGCAGCTAGTGTGCGTGGAACGGTAGAGTACCGTGCTGCATGGGATGTTGAGTTATGGAAGGCTGTCCAGGCAGCTCGACTCCAACGTCAGTTAGAGGAACAAAAGAAAAAAGCTCTCGCGGCACTCGCAAAGTTTGTGAAAACAAAAGAGCAGCATGCTGTGGCAAACTGCGAGATAAAGGAGCGTGACCTTGTCCGTAGAGAACAGCGGGTGGCGGAAGAAGAAAAACAAATAGAGCGGCGAAAGTGGCGATTAACGGAGATGGAGAAGGATCTTCGTCAGTTACGACAACAGCTCGCGGACGCGCGGCGGCGTGCGGAGGAGGACGCGATGGTGGAAGTGCAGCGCGCGAAGGAGGACGCCGCGCACACTGTCGCTCTGCAGCAGCAACGCGTGCAGGCCGCCGAGGCACAAACCCAACGGGCGGAGGAGCGACTGCAGCAGGCGCAGCGGGACTACTTGGCGCTCTCGGAGGAGTTCCATCGGTTTCGCACACGCGGACTCACAGCGCCGCCGGAGAGTATTACAAGTGTGGAGAGCCGCCTTCGTGCGGAGTTTGCGGTGGAGCAGCAGGCGCTGCAGGACCGACTGGAGCGGCGCCACAAGGAGAATGAACATCAATTACTGCAGCGCTGCCGTGAGTTGGAGGAGGAGAATAAACGCCTCACGGCATTGGCCACAAAGCGTAGAGAACAGCTGCGGCGCACCACAGATGATTTGGCACACTTGAAACTGGTGAACGGCGCTCTTGAGGAACAACTGCAGCGGCTGGGTACAACCGCAACCTCAGCAGCAGGAGCAACAGCAGCAGAAGATAGTAATGCAGCTTCTGGTGGAAAGAAGAAGCGAACGGCAGAGTTGAAAGAAGGGAATGTGGTTCAACAGGCACAGTCTGTTCATGTATCTTCTCTCGTAAAAGAGATCGAGCGTCTCCGTCGCGAACGGCGTACAATTGTAGAAGACAGCGCAGGTGCATTAGATGAGGACAGTGATGTAGTACGCTGTCTCGATGCAAGGATTAGTGACATGGTGCGGGAGCTCCACGCACACAATCAAGAAATGCAACAGGTGGTTGGATGAGTGGTTTAAAACAGAAACAACACCATCAAAAAAAAAAAAAAAAATAGAAGCAAGATATAAATTTTATTCCATGATGCTCATTTTTGTATTCCTCCTCACTTTTTCTTTTCTTTGTAGGTTCCTGTGTCTGTGTGTGTGTGTGTCTGCTTGTGTCTCTGTTTTTTTTTTTTGTTGTTGTTTTGCTTCACTCTTCTAATTTGTGGAGAAGGGATTTGCATCTTTAAACGTATCTCCCCTTTTTTTTTTTATTTTTCTTGTACTTTTTACCCTCTTCTATACTCATTTAATGTCGCATGTAAAAAAAAAAAAAAAAAAACGTGATACGTACAGGTTTGAAGTCATTGGTGAAAGAAGTGAATGCATGCAGCTCACTTCATCTGAATCTCTCTTCAAGTCTGCCAAATTTAGACATGGTGTGTTGGATAACACAGATGAAATTATCCATACCGATGCTACAAGTAGAGAGAACAATGAAAATAAGAAGAGTCATAATGGTGATAACGCCCAATCCCTTTTTATTCCAATAGGAGAGGTTATAGCAGCAGTATCATCAAAAGAACTACAACCACCTGCTTTAAAACGTTATGAATGGCGTACCTACCCTAAAGTGCCGTATTACGCTGTAATTCAGGGTCTACAGCTCTCAATAAATATTGCTGGTCCTTCAGAAGAGATTGATAATGATTTAAATAGTGTTACTCTGTTAAATTCCCTCCCGGCACTACAAGCTCTTCTACAGGATGTTGCAATAAAGCATGGGTGTATTTTCTATTTGAGTTCCCTAAAAGCAAGTTGTAATACACTTCTTTACCCGTTTCATCCAATAACGGGTAATGCCACCACTTCATTACCTACTAATAATCCTACTACTATTGCTGAATTGGATTATGGACTATATCTACAAGCTTTACATGATAGTTTTAGACGTTTTACTGAGTTGAGGGATGAATGCTGTCGTGCATCATCTTCACTCTCACCCTTATCCTCTGATTTGTGTACACATCATATCCTCCTTGTACGCATCATTGATCATCCACGATTGAAAGATGTGATAGCATTGTTAGCAGTAGAGAATTCCCGTTTGTGTTTATGCCTTACAGCTTCTTCAAAAGTAACACAATTATACTTTACGCAACGTGCACAAGACATTGGTATAGAGTTAGAGTGGATACAGGGTTCTGCGCTATTGTCAGAGCCACTTATACTATCAATAACAGATGTTAATCCTGTTTTTGCTTTATGGGATATTTTTGTAAATCTGCCACTTCACACCACTCTATATGAAACAAATGGTAATACTGCTGCGTGGGTCCTCAGTAATAGTACTGCTGATCAATTTTTAAAACATGTGAATGTAACCATTTTATCTTCACTGCCGTTTCTTGGAAGTACATCACATACTCCTGTACTGCGACTGTCTGAAGTGGGTCAGATAGGAACGGGTGGTAAACGTTTGCTGTGGTCATTGGTGGGAGCCCCGCGAGTTGTGCTACCGCATTTCCTAGCGGGAATTGTGAGTGCTCTCGTGTAGAGAAGCACTGTGGACTGTTTTGAAATTTCTTTTTCATATGATTCTGGAGCAGCAACGGTGGGAATAGATAGTGCAGATGATGCGGGACGTGGAGTGACTTACGTGACAGGGGCTCGTCATGGTGTTGTTCAACAAAGGAGTTCTGTTTCTTCTTCTTCTGTTAGTACTGCGTTATTCCGCGCCTTCAGTCGACTCAGTGCAGAGTCGTGGCTTTCTGACAGTGACCGCCACTACTACGCTCTCTTCCTTGATGATGATCCGGTGCCACTGGAGTGTGAGTTTGTTGTGGATTCAGTGCGCTACTCTCGCCGGGTAGGGCAGCCATTTGTACAAATAAATGGAAAGAAGGAACAGCAAGAGGAGCATCCGTTGCTTCTACAACCGTCTCGTTGGGGGTGTGGTTTTCAGGTGGTGAATCATGTGGAAAGGGTTCTGGTAGATGATGAGGAATGAGACACAGTACTTTGTTTCAGCTATGCAGTTCCTCAGAAAGATATATTTTGTTTTGAAGGTTTTTTCTTATATTTTTATTTTATTTTGATTGAAATACCTCTATCTGGAGGAGATCTCCCTCGTTTCCTTATTTTTTTTTCTCTTGTTTTTCCCTATGGTTTCCATGTCTCGTACATTTTCCGTTGACTCCTTTTTTTTTTCTTTCTTCCTCCTCTTTTTTTTTCCCATGTGTAGATTTTGTACTGTTCGTACTGATAGCAATCATTTATTTTTCCTTAGCACTCCCTTTCCAGTAGTTTCGATGAGGTCCTCTATCACGACCACTACCACTACCCCAGTCTTGTTGCTATTTTTATTATTACTTTTGCTGTTCGTCTCTCATACACCGCAGAGGGTCGAGGGTCGCAGGCGCATCATTGTAGACGTCGAGGGAACTGTTGAGGATTACGCCGCGCTTACAACAATTGCACAAAGCCCCGTTCTCCGCAATCAACTCGAACTCGTCACTGTCGCCGGCCTCACGTGGGGCCACGCTACGACAGTCGCCCGCAACGTCCGCCGGTTTCTCGCGCTCGCCCACCTTGACGACGTTGTCGTTTCCATCGGCGCACGTACCGCTGCGGTGGACGCGTACGACGACGTGCGGGTTCGCGGTGGATGTTCCCGCAGCGGCGGATTCCCCGCCACTCCGCACGACGCAAGGCAGCGAGGGATGAAATACTCACGTGCAGACGTTACAAACTCATTCGGTGCGGCCTATTCCCTTCCACTACACTCATACAATATTCAGGTGAACGCTTCAGAGGCGCTTTACCATGTTGTCAGTTCAATGGCACTTAGTGATACCCTAACGTATCTCGCGTTTGCTGGCACCTCTAATGTGGCAGCAGCATTGAATTACATAACGCAGCACGATCCTAGGAAACTACAGCAATTCCGTCAGGTAACTATGGTGCATATATTTGAAAAGGGATACAGTTTAGCTGTGGATAATGTGAGTACAGAGCAGTTGCTAGGGGATCCTTTATTGCAATGCACTATATATTTACCTTCTTTTTATGATCCTGCTGTTACATTTTCCTTTAGTACATGGAATCAATTAACTACTTTGGCGAAATGGTCAGGGACATCCGTAGCAGTCCAATGGCTGTACAATGCATGGGCATCGAAGAAGGAATTTATGGAGTCTCGAGATTATAATGTTACTGGCGATGATCCAATTATGACATTTTTCAGAGAGCGCGGCCCAGCGAGTAGTCTTGTAACATTATGCGCCCTCGAGGCCACTCTGCAAACAAATTGCTTCAAATACCGCACATCATTGTCAAAAATTTCCATTCAATCCAAGGCCCCTTCAGAAACCACAACAGAAGGTACCGAATCCCACTTCATCTCTGGAAATAATGTGACTTGGCCCATATATCTTTTGGCGACACCAGGAAATAGTGATGGCGCTACAAGATTCATTTTTTCACAATCTGCAGATGTTCCGAAGCCAGCAGGTAGTACTCCACTCGTGAAGGTTTTTTGGTCCACATGGTTAGGCCTTCTTCAAGACTAGGATGATGAATACATTTATATGTATGCATGTTATGCATTTGTTTACGTGATCGTGATTTTGTTTTTTCCTTCTTAGTCCTCTTATGCATGTTTTTTTTTCTTGTTTTTCTTCGTATTGCGAACCCTTCTCACGGTTCATGTGGTGGTGCATATATATATATATATATATATATGGAAATATAAAATATATATTTTGTATTATTGCATAGACAAGTTTTAAATATTCTGTGTGTGTCTGCATTTTAGTTTTTTTCTTGCTCTGTTTTCTCTTTCTTTTTTTTCTTTTTTTTTTCTTATACACCCATTGTTTTTTCTTGCCGAGGAGGGGATAACACCGTAGGGAAAAAACCTAAAAATGGGCGCTTGGCTCTCTCGGTTAAAGGCCGCATTGGGCTTAGTGCCAGCCGATAAAAAGATTCGTGTGCTCATATTAGGCCTCGACAACGCAGGGAAGACATCCATCTTGTATCACCTGCAACTTGGTAATGTGGTGTCTACTGTTCCCACAGTTGGGTTTAACCTGGAAACGATGCACTACAAGAATATATCGTTTGAGGTATGGGATCTGGGCGGTCAGGCGAATATAAGACCGTTCTGGCGTTGCTATTTCACTGACACAGACGCTATTATCTACGTTGTGGATAGTGTTGATAAGGATCGTATGGGTGTCGCTAAGCACGAACTGTACAACTTACTAGACGAAGATGAGCTGCGTGACAGCTTGCTCTTAATATTTGCCAATAAACAGGATATGGTGGGTGCAGCAAACGAAACTGAGATTGCGCAGCAACTGGGAGTAGCGTCACTGACTAGTCGCACCTGGACAATTGTGAAGAGCAGCGCGAAAACCGGTGAGGGTTTGCTCGAAGGAATGGATTGGCTTTGTGATCGATTGCGCGAGCGGGGGACTGTCACCAGCACCTCATAAGCTTCTCCGCAACAAGTCTTGTTTTTTTTTGTTTTGTTTCCCTATATGATTGATGGGCGAATGGATTATCATTTTCCCCTGTTTTCCCATATATATATATATATATATTCTTTATCACCGTCATAATTGTTGCTCTTTTTCTTCTCCCATTTGCAAGTGAAATGGGAGCGGAGGGAAACTCTTTCAAAAGAGTTTTCCTCTTTTGATTCACCTTCCATGCTCTTTTGTTTTTCTTTTTTTATCTTTGTTTTTTCCTATCTTGTTTTCTTTTTTTTTTTCTTTTTTTTTCCCCTTATCACATGACATACAGTGACACTAACGTGTCTCTTGGAGGTGCGTCAATTATCCACAGACGCTTCCTGACTGTCTAGGACGTACTCTAGAGGGCTCGCAGTCAGAAGAGTGCGTCTGTCTGTGTGTCTCTCTTTTTTTTTTTTCTTCTCTTCCTCTTTGTGTCTGTGTGTGCGTCTATCCAAGCACAAGGGGATTTGAAGAAAAAAAGAGAGGATAGCTGCGGGTAAAGAAAAAAAAAAAAAAAGGGATATATTTGGAGAGAACGAATAAATAGTGGGAGAGAGTTTTAGACGATATAGTATAGACATATGGACTTTCATGCATTGCAGTCGACATTGAGTGAAGGGAGGACCACTTCTGCGTTGTCTAAAGCGCCAACGTTTGACCAGCACTATGAACTCTTAGAGGAGATTGGAAAAGGGGGATACGGCACTGTGTGGAAATGCTGTCGTCGGCATGATGCATTGAAAAGGCCTTATGGTGTTAAGATAATCAATAAGCCTCAGGCCGGTGCCAGGGGACTAAAAGAAGTGATGGGAGAAGTAGAGACGATGAGTCTACTGAGTCATCCAAATATTGTGCGATTAGAAGAAACGTTTCAAGACGATGAACATCTTTGGATTGTGATGGAGTATATGCCGGGAGGAGAACTTCAACGTGCATTGCGGCGTGATGGTTTCTTTAGTGAAACACAAGCCCGTCGTATCGCAACACAACTCTTGTTAGCATTAGAGTTTATTCATCAGAAAGGAATCGTTCACCGTGATTTGAAACCTGAGAATTGTCTTCTTAGTGAGGGGGACTTGGTTTGCAAAATATCTGATTTTGGTTTTGCTGTTCTTGTGGGATCTGATCAGTGTCTTATGTCTTTCTGTGGTACAACCGTTTTTATGGCACCAGAAATATTCAGTGATACAAACTACGGTAAACCAGTAGATATGTGGGCACTTGGAGTAATTGTTTATCTTATGATAACTGGGGAGTACCCTTTTACTGGGCGAACGTCAAAAGAAGTTACTGAGGCTATTCGTGAAGCACGGTATGACCTTAAGTCTGAAAAACTTATAGAAGCCTCATCTGCTTTGCGCGATTTTATACCAAAGCTTCTTGAAATTGACCCTAATCGTCGTTATAGTGCACGAGAAGCGTTAAAACACCCTTGGATAAAAGCGGGGTTGAATATGAATAATTTAGATGTAGAACAGCAGGAGCAAAAAAAGCGTGGAATGCGACCGCGTGGTATATTTCGGAGTGCCGTTATTTTTGTAATGGCGGCACACCGTTTACGTTATCTTCACCGTTGCCGTGTACTGGAAAAAAATGGCTGTGGTGGATGTACTGTGCTTCGTAACTTTCGCTATGCTGTGTCTGGTGTGTTTGAGCCTCCTCGACCGGTACTTGACTGTAGCGGTATGTTTGCGCGTAGTCCGCGTGGGGTGAGTTTTCTCCTCCCGATGGTGGAGGTGAGCCGGACGATCGAATCACTCGATCTCAGCGGGAACAACATCGACAGCCTCACGGTGTTCCAGCAGCTCATGAAGGCCGTGGCGCAGCACCCGTCGCTTCTCTCGCTGAATTTATCGGGCAATCCCATTCCCGCACTCGCCGGCCGCGGGCTGCTGCGACTCGCGCGGAATCCGCAGTCGAAGTTGCAGCAATTGGGACTGGACGGCACACTCATCTCCGCAGAGACAACAGCGCAAATAGCCGCCGCGCTGAAGGAGAAGGTAGCCAACGCCACTCCAGCGGTCTTTACACCGCAGTTAGGTACAGCCTCACCACCATCAATAGCATCACCACCACCACCGACAACAGCAACTTCAATAACAACAGCCACTGCGTTGACAACACCTACAACCACAAACACAACGATGACTGGCACAAATACACGTCATTTGGAAGCCGCATCGCCGACGCAACTGAAATCCATTCGTGCTCATGCTACTTCTCAGCGTTTTGGCGTTGTACAGTCGTCATTAACTCGACTACGGGGAACACAAGGAACAGCGAGGCGGCTTCCCCCAATCAATTCAGCAAAACAGCGCTCCGAGAAATAATATTACTGGGCAATTGCCTTTTCCCCCCTCCTACTCCTCTCCCCCTGCCCTTCCCCCACCCCTCACGGTTGCATACTGTATAATGTGTTTATTGTGTAGCATTATCCCCCTCTGTAGTCCAAACTGTGATATATATTTATATTTATATATATATATATTGGATATCTATTGTAAAGCTACGTGGTTGGCAGTGATGATGGAGGAAAAAACTCGCAGAAAGGCCAATTAAACACGTAGTAAAAGAAATCCTCATTAAAATGAACTTCAATAACTGGAGCAGCTGTTATGATAAAAAAAAAAATATTACCTTTTATTCTCATCTTTTTTTTTTTCCTCTCAATTTTTTTATCATCGTTTTTTTTTTTTTTTTTTTTTTTTTTTGTGATTACACCTATGTACGTACTTTCATCTTTTTTTTCTCGTACTCATACCTATAAAACCCTTTACACTCAGGCATCTTATTCCTTTTTCGATTTATAGGGAAATTGTCCCATTCACGGCATCCACGTTGGTAGGGAATCATAATATATTTATACTAGGTAAGTAACCGTAACAAGAATGGAGGCTGCTGCTTCATCTTCTTCTAGCTCTGCGCTAGTTATTTGGGGTAGCACAGGAAAACGGCTTCAGTTCACACGACAAGAACTTCAAATGCCAGAGAGCGTCAAGTCTAAATCTAATTATCACTTCTTTGAGAAACAGTGGGATACAGTGGCAGGATTTTGGATGAATCGTGTTTTAAAGGAGGCGTCACTGCAGCATATGACCGTAGAAAATATTGTGCAGTGTATCGTAAACGACATCGAAAGACGATGGGAACAACGAAAGAAGGAAAAGACATTATACAAGAAAAAGAAACGTTTACTTGATCGTCAGAACATAACTGCTGCTGGTATGCCTTCTCCACATGTTTTACTTACTAACTTTGTTTCGCTTAACACGTATCGGGAACTCATCGCTACAGATAAATTTCAAGAACTGGTCTTATCAGTGATCGAAAAGGTGGAAGAACTAGCTAAAGAAAAAGTAATACGTCATACTATTCTTGTGGATGACAGTGAAGGAAACAACAATGATAATCATAACAATAACGGCAACAACAGCCAAGTTGGAACAGAGAAAAATGAAGATCAAAATAAGAAACGTAAACTTGAGGAGGGAAGTGAGTTGACATTTGATGACCACGTAGCAATTGTGTGCACATTATCCTCAGAAGTGAGGGCGGCTAGCGTAGTTGCCGAACTGCATGGTAGCAAGTTTGATTCTCGGGTGGTTATGTGTCGGTTTTACGACTTGTAAATTTTATTTGATTTTTTTGATTTTCCGTTGTTTTATTATTATTATTATTAATTTTGTGTTTATGTGCGTCTGTGTGCGCCTTTTTTTTTCTTCTTATTTTACTCAGTCCTTTAAGTGGGTATGTATTTATATATTTATATATTTTTCTTTTTTTCGTATTATTTGTTTTGTGTTTCCCCCCTGTTTCTGTTGTTTTCTTTTCATTTTTTATTTTTATTATTTGTTCCGCATACGCACACCCAAAGGGAATAGTATATATATATATATATATATATACTATATATACGTGCGTGTGTGTTTGGTTTGGGGAATGCGTGCGTTGAGACGCAGAGTTAGTGGCACAGTGTCGTCATCGCACAGCGACCAGCTGATAGGGACTGGAGCGATAACAACGGCGACAACATCTCTGCGCTGTGCGTCGACTGGTGAACATCACAGTTATCGCCCGGGATGTATTGCCAAACTGCTGCGTAGCGTGTATGTGGCCATTACACCTCGTGGCCTTCACCGGCGGGTGGCGATAGGCCTGCAGGCCCGCATGGAGCGAGTGCAGGAGTTAGAGAAGGAACAGCTCTGGCTGCAGCAGCACGGCTCCCCACTGCGTGTGATGGGCCTGCCGGAACACGCCGAGTTGACGGAAGTGCGGGCGCGCTATCGGGATCTCGTCATTGAAACTCACCCCGACACCGCGCAGGGAGATGCGAAGGCGCAGTACGACTTGGTGCAGACAGCGTACAAAATGGCAACTTCTCCCACAAGTCTGTGGCACCAGAACGGGTCTGCGCCTATGATTTATCGTCATCTTGTTGGCTCTTCTGCTACGGCAACACGGCGAGTGACAGTCTTCGCACTTTTTTCATACTGTGTGATGGGAATTATTGGTATTATTTTCTCTGCTGTGGTGGTACGGCAGTCACTTGAGGTGGCACTGCGTTTATTTGATCCCGAGTTCTACGCTTTCATGATTGCACAGGAGGAGGACGAGCAGCGGCGGCGTCTCGCTGGTGAGGTAGTAGATACAGACCCCAAGCGTCTAGCACCCACTGCGGTGAAAAGATTGCTCTTTCCGGGTCGGTTTGTACACAGTAATAGCAGTAACAGCAGCAGTAATGATACAGGTACAGAATGAGAGGATTTACGGATTCTTTCTTCTTTGTTTTCTTTTGTCGGTAAAAAGAAACAAAAAAAAAAAAAAAGAAAGAAAGAAAAACATCTTTCTCAGCGTTATTCCCCTTTATCCCTTTATCATTTTATTTGTTCGTGCTCACTGATTGTTTATTCTTTTTATTTGGTATCTTTCCTTTTATCAGTTTTTTTTTGCCGTTTTTTCCATTTTTCGTCTTGTTGTTTTTGTAAGAGTTCTTTGTTGCGTGCGTGACAGCGGTGACGCTGGACCAAAGATATACACACAGTCACGCACAGAAAAGAAAAGTAAAAACAAAAAAAAAGCAAAAAGAGTACACAAGAAGAAACCGAGGGACGGAGTTGTAGAGAGGTGACAACCCTTTCCCCTAGCCTCCAAAGCAAAAAAGAAAAAAAAAAATAGTAAAAAAAATCAAATCCAAAAAATAAAAGACAGCTTAAAAGCGTCAGAATGGATCCCCCTATGAAGGAAGCGAACTTCTCTTGTCTTCCTAGTTCGGATTCTCTGACGTCACCTGTAGGTTTGCTGCCTAACAACCCCGGGAGTTTTTCTAGTTGCAGCGACTGCGGGAAGGCAAGCAAGAGTGAAGATACATTTGTAGTAGGTGAGTACCGTCTCTCGTCATGCCCTATTTGCCTAGAGCGATTCACACTGGAAAATCCAGCCATAGTTGTGATCTGCGGGCATGGTTTTCATCTGCAGTGTCTAGAGGAGTGGCGGCAACGGTCGCCGCTCTGTCCTGTGTGCTCAAGGCCACTGCAGGGGGAGGGAATACCGATGATGTCGGCTCGCGATACGCGACGGCGACGGCGGTATAGAGGTGGGAACAGCAGCAACACAAACAAGAGCGGCAGCGGCGGTCATATTCTGGGCAAGGAACAGAGTGGGACGGGTTCTGTGATGATGGAGCAAGAGCAACGGTCTAATACCCCAGTGGAGGAATATTCTGTGACTGAAGATACCCAATCGCCTGCTATGCGTGCATTGAGATTCCTTATACGCTGGTGTTCTCGGGGCGCGGAGTAAGCTTTGCTCTTTATCTTTGACATATGCTGTTTTTTTGATATCAGGTGTGACTATCGCATATTGAAAGCTTGCGATAAGAATGGCAAAGCCTTACTTTTTGGAACTACAGATTTATGGGTTTTGGTAAACCAAATTCTATTTCTTTTATCTTTACAGTCTGCCTAACAGTAAGTTTCTGAAAAAAGTAAGTTTACAAGGAAGGAAAATGTTGAGTACGACTCGTCCCTCTTATTCATCAGTAGAATGGAGGACATGCACACAAGCATTCAAAGACTTTGTGTGCCACAACGGACCAACAGCGTTTACATTTGAAATGCGACCATCGCACGCTCCCCATTTAACTTATACCGTCGAAGGTATGTTAACCTTAGAACATGATGCACTCAAGATACGTA